TGAGAGCCTGGCGCGGGGCGGGCGGCGGGCCCGGGCGGAGTGAATCCCCTGCGTGTCCACGCCTCCCTGTCTCCTTAGAAACAAAGGGGGGCCGGTGCCGAGGCTGACCAGGTGGGAGGCCGACCAGGTGGGGCGTGTGCAAGGGCTTTGTACATTGTTGAGAAGGCGCCACGTGAGCAGGACTTAGGCGGGGAACTCGCCCCACGTGGGTAGCCGGGGTCTGATGGAGGGCAGCCTGGCCTTCCCTGGGGGGGCACTGCTGGCCTCTGACCTCTGACCTCTCTGGCCTGCACCTGCTTCTCTCTGACCAGGACATGAACCGGGAAGTGGTGAAGACGGACTCGGCCACCACAAGGATTCCAGAGTTAGATTTTGAAATTCCTGCCTTCAGCCAGAAGGGAGGTAAGTTCAGGGTCAGGTATTTGGGCTGCTTATGCGTAGCTGGACCCTTACTCACTTTCTTGTAAAACCCCGGCCAGGTCTAGTGGCTGTGTGTGGGTTTGGTAAACGTTGGGGTCTTCATTGACTGACCATCAGCAGAACACTTAGCTAAAGCAGTTTGAGATGGTGTTTACTTACAGGGTTTTGTCATCACTGTTGTTAGAGCTGAATGGAACTTTGTTGCTAGCCTCATTTTACAGATGAATTCAAGGCCTAAGGAGGTCACACGAATTGCCCGGGGTCACACAGGCACTTGAGAGCAGAGCCCAGACTCCCCTGTCCTTTGTTCTTATTCCCAGCTTTGACCACTGTTGAAGGACTGATCAGCCGAGCCATCTCTGGCCTGGAGCAGGACCAGCCCACTCGAAGGGTGAGCTGGGGTATTCTGATTGCAGCAGCTCAAGGAAGAATTACTTACATGCATCTGAATAGAGTGTTCAGCTTTCCACTAGGTGAACTGTCTGACAGAATGTCGGGAGGACTTTTAGGGGAAGTATATGGCGATGCCATAGCTGCCGAGATGTTGCATACAGAACATCTACTGTTCTTTCCACTTCGCCTTCGCCAGTGTATATTCAGGCCTGTCGCCGCCAACAGACTATGTATCATTACCGCTGAAGAGCCTGTCCTCCCTTGGGTTTAGCTATGCTTTCTGAGTGTTCCACTGTCTGTTTATTATGACAGAAGTGATATAATTACGTATTAGTCATCTGTCTTCCTAACTAGCTGGGGAGCCCCATGAGGGGACTCAGATATTTAACCTGGCACGAATGCCTGGTTTAAAGGGTTGAATGAGTGAGAAAATGAGGCTCATCTGGCACCACCCATAAACTTCAAATTATGTGCTACATCTTCTTGTGAAGTCTGAGTCTCTCTGTTCCCACTCACGCTAAGGTGATGATTTCCTGATGGAAGTGACTCGGGCACGACAGGAAGTGAGGGCATAAAGGTCTATGACCAGGGCTGATACTTTTACTCTCGGTTCCTGTCAGGCAAATGAAGAAGCCGTCGCTGAAAGACTGGATGAATTCATTGTCAAACTGAAAGAGCTGAAGCAGGTGGCCTCTCCTTTCACCCTGGTGAGTATTGAGGGTGTCTAGGTGCCTCAGTTTAAGAGAGGAGAAACCGTTAAGACTGTCTGGGATTTTTCCACTGTGGTGCCTGAGTGGGCTGATGGTAGGTGGAGGATTTTACATGGCTTATAATTAATCTTTACCCGTCTGTTAGATCATTGATGACCCCTCAGGGAACAGCTTCGTGGAAAACCCGCACGCTCCCCAGAAAGATGACGCCCTGGTGATCACACATTATAACCGGACTCCGCAGCAGGAGGAGATGCTGGGGCTCCAGGTAAGCGAGCTGAAGAAGCCAGAGAGGAGTTGGTGGAAACTTACTTTGCTGCTATCAGCACGTTTGTGCTTCCCATCAAGCTCATGTCAGGGCTTAGGGTGCACTTTACAATAAAGGACGACAATAGCTTTGGTCTTTCCTTAAGCTCTGTTCTTCCCTTGATTGGGGCTTTGCTTTCTAGCTTCTCTGTTAAACTCATGAGGTGGCAGCTGACAAAAGCAAGCCACAGCATTTTCCCACGCTCCAAGGCAGGGGGTCGGGAGGCTGAGATACACGTGCAACATGTGATTTGCATCTCTGCTACTTTAGGCAGAGGCGCCAGAAGAGAAGCCGCAAGAGGAAGATCTCAGAAACGAAGTGAGTCCCATTGGCTACTGTGGAGGAAGGAGCAGAGTTGTGAGCTGAGACTGATGCTGTTCAGTGGCTCTCTTCCTCTCCACCAACACAGGCGACCACCGCATACCAACTGAATGCTTTAGCCTGACAGGGCTCACCTGCCGGGGAGGGCTCACCCCCGCATCCCCATGTTGTGTTCCAGGTGC